TTTGGATTAGTAAATGAACTGCAAGTTCATTTTATTGGATAGGAAGAGTGGTTTTTTTTGGGGAACAATGACATAAAAATTCCTGCTAATTTTGTATGATCTTTTAATTTATTCTGGAGAATCTGCAATCAGATTCCAAGCAAACAGATTCCAGGTCCAGCGCCTACTAAAATATACAGAAAAAGCCAATTGTTTCCAAATTGCTGGGAAAGCCCTGGCCTGGCTTCCTCAGCTGTAGACAGGGATACATGGTAGGCGGAGTCTCGCTAGTTTTAGGCAGCGTCAGTTATTTTTTTTTTCACCTTTCCACTTTTCTGGTGAGCTGAAATCTGGATTATTGAGTTAGCTATGCAAAGGTCTTTGAGAAAGAAGTTACAGGACATAACAGGTGACAATTAGGAATTTACAAAAACAAAGCATTTCTAAACTTGAGCCTTCACTGAAGGCAGTTGTTGAGGAGGACCTTCAGAGTAATACATGGAGAAAACAAAGATTAACCTGGCATGAACCTTTGTCCTCATCATCATGGATTCTTCCATTTTAAGACTTCTAAAACTCATTTTCCTGAATGTAATGAAAAGAAGATGTGATACTACCAGAAAAGGAGTATTTTAGTGGAGGCAGTACAAAGGACAACTGGGTGTCTCCTGGTGGTTGTGGCTCATCTACCAAATCAGCACTTATCACCCTGAACTACCAGCCCTTAAACTCAACATCTATCTCTGTCTGATGGGTTTTCTTGGCTTTGAAGAGAAGTGAAAGAGAAAATACTTTAATCATGGAAACTCTATCCACTGGAGTATGGAGACACAGTGGTCTTACAGTCTGAGATTATGAAGTTTGCCAGGGTTTTCTCCAGACAGTCATCACAGGCTCTCAGAAGATTTATAGGAATAATCTTGAAGAATGCCTGGAAAAATTTCTCATGGTACCTGAGCATGTGCAATATCTGGCAAGTGATGTAGTGAATGTGCTCATTTGTGATAGCCATCTTTCTGCTGCACAGACACTGTTTGAACTTGCTGATCAGTCTTTCTTCCCCCTCTAGGGTCAGGGTAGTTGCTGACATCCAAGAAAAGCCCAAGGAAAACCTGTGAAGCAAGTATGTTTGGAGTTGAAAGGATGCCACTGTGAAGACTCATGCCAAAGCTTTGAGGCAATAAGCTAAGGCTGCAAAGTTGCTAAAGCCAGGAGGTGCTAACACAAAAGATTGCAAAAATGCCTAAGGCAAAAGTGCTGAAAAAACTGCCAAGACCAGAGGCACAAGGACAAAGGCCCAAAAGCTAGAACAGTGTCTTGTGACAGGCATCCCATTTATGTGCTGGGAATGAGCAGTCAAACCACTCATGTGGTCACCAAACCAAAATTTAAATGTTCATAAAAGGTTTTATGGCCCTAAATGCATCAGCAGGGTAGTAACTGAGGCAACTGTTGAAAAGGTATCATTGCTGTAGGCAATTCTTTGTTGATGGGGGTTTGGTTGGAACTTGGTTGAAATGGAGGCTGAGTGTAGTTTGTGACCATCTGTGATTCTGAGAGTGATGAGGTTAAAAATTCTGTATCAGCTGGATCCTGGAAATATTAAGAGCTTACACATGATCCATATTGTCCCTGGCAATGCTGCTGGGAGCACCAGAAGCTTCTTTAGAACATAAAAAACATACATGTTTTTCCTTCACAACTGAGCAACCTTTTCTTAAAACATTTCTGTTCAGTATGGACTTAGATTGTTTAAGGTAGAGGAGGAGCCACACAGCTTGCACTTTACTGCTTCTATGTGCCTTTTTTTTTTCTTTTTAGAATTACATGGGGCTTTTCAACTTTAAAAAACACATGTCAACCCTCACTTATTCTGGAGGTGGTGTAGCATGACCAGGATGCCACTTCTAGGTGGAAGAGAACAGCACCACCTGAGACTAATACCGGACTTCTTTCATCTCCGGCTGGAGGGAGCATGGCAGGAGAGGGGAAGAAAAGGAAGGAGATAAAGCAGAAAAACTGGAAAGCAGTATCTTACCACTACCCAGACAGGAAAACTAGTGTGATGATTTCATCTATCAGGTAACTCTTGCTATTGCAACTGTTGTCATTAATTTTGCAATGGTATTGCATATCGAAAATTAATTCCTAGAATGGTCTTATTCACTTAGCTAAGACACATTTCCTATCATCAGCTGCTTTATAGTATAGCAAGGTTCAAAAGGGTTTTCTATCTTCTGAAGAAGTAGAGTGTAGTCAGCACTAATGAAAGGGCAATGAATAATACTCTACGTCATAGCTTTCGACTTTAAGAATTCCACTGAGGTCACTGGGTTGAACTGGAGATCCTTTAATCATTAGTAGTTTTGTGAATGGTGTACTTTGATATTTTACTGGACATCACTACTTAACATGCTTCTGGCTCCATGGAAGGAAAAACAAAAGGCTTTGTATGCCTTGACATCCTGTAGTTTGAGGATCATTATATACCCAGTCAAATCTTGAGGTTCCTGTTTAGTTGTTACACCATGCTAAAATCTCCTGAAATGAACTGGAATTTGATATCTGAGCAAAACCATGCTAAGAATCGCAAGATTTGTCACTCTGAGAGTAGCTAAAACTTTCTCCCAGGTGGAGGAAGAATTAGCTGCAGTTGTGATTCATACCCACAGTAACACAACCAGCTTGTAATTGCATTATTCCTGTGCCCAAGCAGCACAGTCATGGATCCCATTGTACATGGAGTCAGTTACTGACATTTGGGATTCTTTTGTCAGATTTGCTCTCCTGTGAAAACCTTGGTTTTGCAGGGTATGTCATCGACTCTTAATTAGAAAGGGCTTGCTTTAAACTCTAACAAATGTTGCGTATGTGAAGGCAGTTCCGCACAAGAGTGGCTGTGTTATGAATGCAAGTTCCACGACACAAATGGACCTCTGTAATCTGCTGTGAAAGCCAGGGCTTCTTCCCCATGCCACTTCAGCAGACCTGCTGAACTCGAGACATTTCTACAGCCTTGTTTCATTCCCAAGAGCTGAATGTGAGCACCATCTCACAAGATGAACAGCTAGACCCCTCCCATTTGTGGCCACTTATGCTAAGCTGTTCTCTATTTCTCATAAACAGTGAAGATAAGTGATATTCCAAATAAAATATTTGCTGGTGAAGTTTTAAAGGGTACTTGTGTATATGCCAACCTGAGGTATTATTGAATTTCTTAATATGGATCAGAAAATTTTTACAAGTTTTCACAGTCAAGGTGAGGCTCATGCCCCAATGAGCCTGCTTCATATCTAAGTCACTTTCTTCCCTTCTTTCACCTCTCCATCCAAAACAAGTCCTCAAATGAACAAATATGTCACTTTAAATGCACAAAATAATAATGCATAAAAATAATGGGCCAAATAAAAATAAAATGCATAAAAAATGGGCCAAATAAATTATTTAAATACATAAAAAAAGAAATTCACAAAAGATGCATGTTATTAGCTATTTGACTAGCAATTGATGCTGTTGCAATGTCTGCATTTCACAATGCAAGGGCTTTCTCTGCTAGACAGATAAATAGTTGGAATAATGTGAGAAATGACTTTGCAATCATCCAAAGAACAATTTGGGTTGAAACGGTCCATTTAATGGCATTGCATTGGCTGTGCTGTGCAGTTGTTTCATACCAGACCTTCACCACATCCATGTGCTTTGGAATTCCTTCTAAAAATGAGCTCCAAGCCTGACCCTCCTCTCCCAGTCCCAATTCCCTGCAGAAGTGTTACTACATATGCTTTGAATCTTTTTTTCAGATGAGCTCCCAAGCCTAACTCCTTCCTCCCTGTGCTTGAAACGTATGGATTTGAAAGCACAGATGTGGCCTTGAAGTTTTTGGACCAGGCCCATCTGGGTCAAACCCTACATAGTTTGACTAGCAGTTTCTTGAGTTAAATTCTCAGAAGTCTTCATTTCTTCTTGTTCTGAATCTACTACACACTCCCTTTTATCTCTCCTAGTTGAACTACAAGGTTCTCAAGGGAGATGTAATTTTCATAAACAGAAATATAATGACCAGCCAGAGTAAGAAAGCAAATTTTTAATGACTGTGAGAATTATTGTTATGAAACAGCAAGTTTCCTTTTAGTTTATGCTATGTGTAAAAAAATACACCAATCATGATTTGGAGAAGTAGGGGAGATTCTTTGTAAATCTCATCTACTTAACTAATAATGAAAAAAAGCTGGGAGAGACTTTGTCCTCCTGCTGCCAACATTTTGAATCACTGAGAAAGGGCTCCGGACCTGACCCTGAGAACTGCATTTTGGCATTAGCAGCGGCTTCATTAGGATCACTTGTGTGCGAAGGGATGCCCGTGAAAAACAATTTGCACGACTAAGTCGGCAGAACAACTGCTTTTCCAGACATGCCGTGTCCCTTCGCGATCCAGATACGGGGAAGCAGGGACAGGAGGGACTCAGCAGCGCAGCCGGGTACAGGGGAGCCGGGAGGCAGCGTGCGGAGAGCCCGCCGGGCGTGCGGGCTGCGCCGAGCGGGGCCGGCCCCGAGGGGCGGCGGCTGCGGAGCCCGGCCGGTTCCGGCCCCGCGGCCCGAGCGGGGACGCGGGCGGGGCCCGGGGGCTCCGCAGGCTGCGGAGGGCGGCGCGGGCGGGGCCGGGCCGCGCCGGGGGGCAGCGGGCACATTGTCCGCCCGGCGCCCGCGGGGCTGCGCGGAGCGGGGCCGGCCCCGCCGCCCGTGCCTGGCTGGAAGTGAAACGCGCCCCGGCTGCTCCTTTTTCTTTTTTTTTTTTTTTTTTTTTTTCCCCTTTCCTTTTTCCTTTTTGAGGCTCCAAAAGGCTCACTCGCCCCTTTCATCTGCCGCCGCGGCCCAATGGGAAGGCGGAGGCTGCCTGCAAGTGGTCTAATCTCAATGAGGTGTCAATCATGTTCCCCGGTGGGTGAAGTAAGGTCTTTTGTAACCGCCTCTGTCTTTGGGAAAGAGAGCAGAGAGGAGGAAGGCTGGAGCGGAGAGGGGGACGCCGGACCGTGCTGCAGGAGAGGAGCTGAGATTTGAGCTCGCTTGTGTGTTAGCAGGGAGAAGCGGAGCACATGGATTTCTAAACACGCTGGGATTTTATATATCTACAAAAAATAACAACAAACGAACCTGACCCTACTGAAAACAGTCAAATGAATCGTAATTGCAGATCAATGCAGAGAGATGGGGAAACTTCACTCGAAACATGGTTAGTTCCTTTCACTTGCTACTTCCTTAGCCCCTTCCCTTTATTCGGATTTTACTCGGTTTGTTGCTGTGATTTTATTCTGGTGTCTAACGATCTTCCTTTATTATTTCCCTCACACACTTTCCTCCGGATCTGCCTAGCTGCCGTTTGTAAACCCAGAGAAAGTCCAGAAGGTAGGGATGGCTCCTCACTGTTAGTAACTTTGAACGCCTTCCCCCGGTCCGGCTGCCTGCCCCCGGCCCTTGCCCTCTCCCCTCAACTTTCCGCCGCGCTTGGCGCTCTGCGCGGCTGCCCCGCTCCCGGCTCCAGCCCCGGCTCCAGCCCCGGCTCCGGCCGCGGTGCCAGTCCCGGTGCCAGTCCCAGTGCCAGTCCCAGAGCCAGTCCCGGCTCCGGCCGCGGTGCCAGTCCCAGCTCCAGCCCCGGCTCCAGCCCCGGTGCCAGTCCCGGTGCCAGTCCCGGCTCCGGCCCCGGTGCCAGTCCCAGCTCCAGCCCCGGCGGGGCGCAGGGACGGCCGCGGGGTTCGGGCGGGCTCTGCGGGCGGCTCAGCGGAGGCATTGTCTCCTTTTTTCTAGGTGATAGTTTTGCGGTGAACGCCTCTCTGGCTCGCAGAGGGCTGGAGGACTGGATGGTGAAGCAGAAATACTCCGGGGGCAGCAGCAGCGGCGGCAGCAGCTCGGGACTCCAGCACGGCTGCCAGCACCGCGCCGTGTGCAGGCTCTCCAGCGCCAGGGTATGTCAGCTTCCTCGCTGCCCCCCCGCCCCTTCCCTTTGAAACAGTGAAAAGCAAAAGCTCTTTCTACATCGCTCTTTCCCTCCCAAGGGGCGGTTGTGCAAAGGAAGGTTTTCTTTGCCCTAATGTTGCTCCGAGGCGCTGCCCCGTGGGTGGTTTCCTTCAGTCCTTTGATGAAGTTAGAAGCTGCAGAGCAAACTTGGTGAGGGAGCAAAAGCCAGAGGAGTAAGGGAACCTGACTGCCGGTGTCTGGGCAGTACGATTAGAACAAAACCTTTCACAAACAGGAACAAACAGTCTCTGGGGAAAGCCCAGCACCCAGCCGGCGTGCGATAGCTTGTGAACCCTGATTAGTGCACAAGTTTGCCTGTGACATTTTGGCAGGCAAGAAGTCCCCGAAGAGTTATTGTTATTTATTTGCTCTTTGCGAATAACGTGAGGCTGACTTTCTCCACGAGAGTTACTGTGCCAGTCACTTGTCCTGGCTGTTTCACTGTTCACTTTTCACCCCTTCTCCTTCCTTCAGTTCTCCATGTAAAGCAGGGTGGGAGGAAATGTTACAGTTGCCATTTTCTTTTATTTATTTTTAATGTTGTCTCTTTAAACAAAAAGGCATCATGGGAGGTAAACAGACTTAACATTACTTAGATATGGTCCTCATAGTGTTTCAGGGTGTGATCCAGAGCTTATTGATGTTTACTGAAAGAATCCCATTGACTTTGGATCAAGTCCTGAAAGCTTCATCACTGGGAAGGTAACCTGAGAGATGGAGAGATTGGAATCTGTGCTTCCCAGCAAGCAGTGTGGCTTTGAAAGCACAAGCAGAGCCAGGGCCACCAAACCTCCTGCAGGCTCTTTGCTTTGTTAGCTACCAGTTGTATTGTCAGAAGCCTGGACTTCTTGTGTCTCAGGAAAAATTAACTTGCAAGTCGAAAATACTTCATTTTAGGTGGGATGGTGAAGTGAGCAGAAGATGTGTAGTATGGGAAAAGTTAATGGTGACATTTTAGATTCCACCAGTATTGTATTTTGAGGAGCATAAAGTGTGTGAAAGTCGCTAGAAGTAGAGACAAAGGGGTAAGCTATTGACTTGTTTGTAGCTGATGAACATAATCACCTTCGACTTGCAGGTATGATTGGTTGAAATGATATTTATTGTGCTTTACTTGGAAACGATATATTCAAAGAAGTTCTCATTAACAATAGTATATACTTTGATGCAGATGCAAAGAGTAAAAACACGTGTTTTTAATTATTTTCTAATTATCCCAATTTTTCTAAGATGCGGTTTTTACATATGTTCTACCTTTCACATGTATATTTTCTAGAAAAGAAGCTCAACTCACCAAAGTAAACATCATTTAATATACGAGAGTTAAAGGTAAAAACTCTGATTTTAGTTTGTGAAATGTATTTTCTTCTACAAAGATGATTTGGTTTCTGAAACGGAGGAGAAAATATCTTTTGTCAAGGATACTTTCTATTCACAACACTCTTCAGTTGGCAGTTTCCTGAGGTCTGCTCAGCTGGAATGACAGTAGAACAGTATTTCTCCACTTACTCAAGAGGAAGTCCTCCTCATGATGGCTCAGCAATTAGCAAGCCATTAACTAAATATTAGTCTACAGTTTTAGTAGATTATAAAACTGTAAATAGGTTTAAGTGTGTTTAAAAGCACTGTTCCCATGAGGCTTTTTACTGCCATCCTTATAGAGATGTTTCTGAATGTTCAAAAATATTTGCCATTTATTGCCTAATATATTTGGTAGTATCTGTGTGCATGTATAGCCTGCTTATTGACTTAGTTTAATTGTCATCCTGTCACAGGCACACTGTGACAGCAACATTAAAGTTCCTTTAAAATATGAACTTTTGGAATATGGAAGGATGCATTTCTAATTCTACATTGGAACCATATGTGCCATATGTACAGTCATTTTGACAAGGATTACGGAGTCACAGCGATTGACTCCATAACTGAGATTGCATGACTGCTTCTCTTCTGAGATCTCTTTGATCTCTAGTATAATTATACCAAGATACAAAGGGAATTGTAGCCTAACCTCTTGGTTCTTTGGTCTCCTCAAGATGTAGAAATAGTAGTTTCTTCTGCTAGTGGTTAGTAACAGGGTTGTATGGGACAGTGGTGTAGTATAGTCCCCAATAGTGTAGCTCTTGAATTGACAAAGGACGCTTATCTTTATTGCTTCAAAATTAATCCTAAAATGTTCAATAAGCTTACAAGGCTCTGTGGAATGGTACAGTTTTATTGTGTCACAGCTGAAACTGTGACTTTTCAGTAAAACATGGAATTTTTCCCCCAAAATAGATCCCAAGTTGATGCATTTGTGACTTATGTCAGAAAGAACTAGTTCAAATGCTGATGAAAATATCTGCATTCACAGAAACATACAGCTGTGTTAAAAAAATAATGGTCCTAGAAATAATTTTTTGAGTAGGAATCCTTTACCAGAGCTTTGTTGATGGTTTTCTTAGTATATAGGGCCTATTTGGTAAAATTCAGTTTACTTCCAAAGACCTGTTGATGGGAGAGAAGAGCCTAGCCTAGCCTGAAGAGCTTCTAAGACTGAAAATCCAAAATTTGAATACTTTTTATGAGAACTTGGATATGATAGTGCAATTTGATTTATTATACTGTCTATAAGCCAAAAATTCTGTCCTGGTTGTAGTTGGAAGGCTATTTCTATCAAGAACAGACAGTGAATTGTTCTGCTGAAGTTAGTCATCCAGGGGAGATGACACTGAAGTTCAAGGGATTCATGCAGTGTTTTACAAGAGGAATGAGTGACTAATGCAGGAAATCAGTAAAGTTTCATTTGTAGTACTCTAGAATGATTGAGTTTACAATTGTCGTGGAGGGGAGGCCTTTACATCACTTCACTTCAGGAGAGTTCAATTGTATGTCACCTTTCCTTCTCCTGAGCAGAAGTTTTGAGGGTTTCTCGGTTAGAGAAGACTTCCCTCAGCTGATGTGTTGTCTGTGTCGTGTCCTGTCCATCTGTCTCTCCTCTCCAATTCACTGAAAGAACAGTAATTAATGTCCAGCTGTTGCCAAAAGCACCAGTCTTCTGAGAAGGGTCTCGTGGAGGATGGTTGGGTGAAGGCATGAGGCAGGGGAGGGGAGCGTGTCCGAAATGAGCGCCCGTGGTGTGTGTGCAGCTGGCTGTGCTGGGCGAGAGCTCTGATCTCATTAAACCATTGCCACCCGCCCAGCAGGGGCTGCTCTGCTCTAAGGGTTTTAATGACTCTTCAGGCCGAGGGCTGGCCTGCAGCTTCTACATCATGCAGGATTAAAGAGAAAAGGAATTCTGTTGCATCCATGAAAAGTATGAGGTCCAGAGTCATCTTCTGGTTTCAAAGCTAATTGAAACCACTGAAGCTGTAAATCTGCTAGCAACTGAATACACTTCTTTTGGTGCTTTATGAATGAGTTAACTTGTATCCAGAAAGGTTTTCTGATGCTGTGGATTATCCTGTATAATTCTTAAGTTTAAATTTATTCAGTGTGTTTACTTTTACAAACTGTTTTTGGAAATCAACATTGTTTGCAAATATTCATGTATTTGTTTATTTAACTGAGAAATGGCTCTATGCTAGAGGGGGGAATATTAAATATGACATTTGCTTAGTTCCATTTACTTTTATCTTCAAACCTACAAGAAGTTTTATGAGGTTCTTGTGCGTCTCATTGAGATCTGTGCTTGGGAATGGAAAAAGTCACATATTTTTAATTAAATTTCAGACCAGCTCTCAGTGAGCCACATTGTAGGTAATCATTTTAGGTAAAATAGAAATGACTTTAGCTTACCACTTCTGCTGGGCTCAGTGGTGCTAGTGATCCTCATGTTCAACCCTAATTGACATTAATTAGAGTTGAGTATCTGGTTTGGGACTAGCACAGTATGAAATTCTGAGGCGCATCAGTACTTCAGAGGTGGGGCTTGTTCTCCATTTGTTCTGTGCCTGTAACTGCCAGTGACATTAATGGGCATTCCTTGCATGGCTGAGAGGAGACAACACCAGTGTCAACTTCACTGCTCCTCTAGTATGATCAATCTTAAATGAAAAAAGAAGGCCTTCCCAATCCCCCACTGTTAAATTGTGTGTGTGTGTGTGCATATTAAAAATACATCGCCTTACGAAAGACACAGCTGGGTAGGTCATTCATCCAAAATGAAAATAATAAACAGAAATGAGACTTTTTTGTGTTATGTACATACTAAAGGCTGTTGAAATGCAAGATTTAACTGCAGCACTATCTTGGGGTCATTTCATGGCTAGTGACACTTGAAAGGCTGCCTTCTTTCTGGTATGGTGACAAGAGCAGTGAAAGTTTACTTGGTTGTTATCTTGTGTGACTGCTTGAAGTGATCTTTTTAACTGAAGTGTTTTCAAGTCCATTAATGTCAGTACTATATAAATAATTATTTTTATTGACTCTGAAGATTAAAATAAACAGCAGACTCAGCATTGGTATGACTAGAAAGCATTTTAGTACACAAAAATATTGTCTATGGCATTTAAAATAAATTTACCAAACTTTGTATTGAGAGAGAGAGAGAGAAGCAGAATCTTACTTAGTGTTGAAATTTGGTGCCAACAAACCAAGATAATTTAATTAGTGATGTACATAGTATATCTTGACAGCTCTGGTTTGGGAAAATTATAATATGAATATTAACAATCAAAGAGTTTCTGAAAGTATTAGTGCCATGGTGATGAGATTAGTGAATTGGCCAATACTGTAGCAGAAAGCTGGATTCCAAGGGAATTATCCTTGAATGATACCAGTTGGTGCAATTAAAAGCCACAATTCAGTTGCCATATGGAAAGTGTTAGGCATCCTTATATGGTTTCAAAGCTATGTGCCAGAGGTTAAATTGACATATGAAGAAAAGCATAAATTAAATATTTTGTGTTATGAAATTAAAAGCTGACTTTGCTTGAGCCATATGGAGGAGGTAGATGGAAGACTGTCT